GGGGGCGGTATCAATGAGGCGGCGGGCATTGGATCGGCAGAAAAGGTGTGGGGGAAACTAAAAAATGGCGGAAAATTGGAAGCACTGAACGATAGATCTATAGAATGAATACACTTCCTTTTTTCCGGACCCGAGTCCGAGTAACATTTTTCCTTATTCGGACTCGAGTCCAAATAATAATTTGTCAGGGGGGAGACACCCCTGAACCCCCCCACCCCAACCACCCGTCCCACCCACCCCACATTCTCGCACAATACTGTATCATACAGTGTATGAATAATGAGTGGTCCGGTATTCTTCAATCTTCCTTAGACTCAATCAACTAACCTAGTCTAGTACATCTACATCTAGATTATCTAGAATAGAAGCTAAAGCTAGATCTAGATCTCTAGATCTAGATTCTAGAAATCAATATCATATCTAAATCAAGAATCTAGATATATATAGGCTATTATAGGTCTAGATCTAGATTATCTATATCTATATCTATATCTAGATTAGATCTAGATGTAGATATAGATCTAGTATTCTAGAGCCCAGACTAGAAGAATCGTTAAAATACACTGGATTTATAGATCTAGAATCGAGATCTAGATATCTAGATATAGATATTATTAGATCTAGATTCTAGATCTAGAATCTAGATCTCTAGATTTCTAGATCTAGATCTAGATCTATGACCAATACTGCTTGATCTAATATTTTTTTTAATAGACGGTGTGGTCCATAAAAAATTATCACTAGTTTTGTCAACTACCAAAATCTAAATTACCTTTAAAACAGTTGATTATTAAAAGAATATGTTCCTTTCTGTTGATATCATGGTTCTTTTCCGGGTTTGCTTTCCATTGCTCATCGTTCAAAGCGGAAGTATTATTGTGTAGTTAAGAGGTATACCAGATACGCGGCCCATGGTTTTATATTATTGCCAATTAAGAAGCCGAACAAGTGGTCATTTATTGTTTCTTTTCCACACCAGTAGTTTTGTAATACATTGTTCGTAGAGAATAACTGTGGTACACAACTCCCCTATTAATAAGTAGTCTGTGTAATTTGGTATTTTATTGATAAACCAAAGCCTCCTACTATAAGATATTTGGCAATTCGGATGGTAATTTTTAAAAAATTATTATATAAGTAGCCTAGATCTGCACAATAGCCTAGAATAGGCCTAATATAGCCTATTATTTTTGAAGCAATAGCGAACAATGGTTTCTCAGGAAACTTTAAAATATTTATGGCGAGAAAAGAAATGAAATCAGGTACAATCTAGTGCGGACAGAATCCTATGTTGGCGCTCACCATCAAAAAAAAAATTAATTTTTAGAGACAAATGCAGTTTTTGGGGCACTTGAATAGACATAAAAGATTTTATCTTATTAAAATTGCGCTCGTCGATCACAGGCAAATAGAAGACAAAAGATGTATGGATAATTAAGAACAGCAGAATATTTTTTTAAGCATACAAGTATATAATGTAAAGATGTCAAAGTGGTGGGAAAACATATTAATTGATATCGCTGATGTCTGTTTCAGATAAAAGCATCATTATGATGGCGGTGATGAGTGTTTGTGGTAGATCTACCACATGCGCTGTCATCTAGATCTATATGGGGCAGTCATCGTTCTCGCAAAAACGAAACAATTACACAACAACCAAACATTTATGAATATTATACATGTATTTGAGACGACGAAAGTATATCCCTGACCGGTTACCAGATAGACTGGTATAAATATGTAAAGAAAGATTAATGAGATACCGATACTCGAGCCCTTCACAGCGCACTTCGAATTCCAACGTTGTTAGAGTCATTATTGATGATCATTCCTCATCGTCATGAAGCATAGTGTCTCGCTTATTTAAGAGAGAAGGACTGTCAAAATGATAATATCTAAATCTAATTTCAAGAAAAATTCCATAATCGCTTTTTTTTCTTTTTTTCAAAAAATGAAAATGTGGGTATTTGCCATATATATTGAGAGTAGCGCATATACATCATGAAGATATGAGAAAAGCTTTTTAAAAAAACTATAAAACTTTTTAAAAATTATAAATTCCACCCGTGAGATGTTCCCCTACATAAAAGAAGAGACGTAAGTTTATTGAATTCTTGATTGAATCATAACTGCGCATCCGCAGCTATAATAATATAATTATTGTTTGGGTAGTTGTGCGGCTTTCCATACGTCAAATGTCTCACTTCTAAAAACATAGGCACTTTAAATTAGTTGTAGATTCTAACGGTTTTCTCCTTCATTTTCCATTGGAACAAAGTATTTTAAACATATTTTAGAGGGGGGGGGGTCGGTGGAGTGATATAATTTTAGAAACTACATGTATGCTTCTGATCGAGTTGTCATAACACTGTTTAAGAGCACAGCGGCGGAGATGATGATGAGAGGGGGTCATGGTGGTGATTATGTGGACTATATAGGCTACTTTATCGAATGTGATATTATACTGTAACAATATAATATATAGATCTATTGCCATGAGTAAATTACTGATAAGGCCCGGTCAGATCGTGTGGGGGGGGCTGTTCGGGAACGGGGTTGGGGAGAGGGGGGGGGATTTTTGATGGTGATAGTTAATGAGACCATAATAACGGACGGAGGACAAAATAAATTATAATTGCGTGAGATTTTGTTTTGTGTGTGACGTGGTACATGTCTGTGTTTGTACGTGTGTGTGTGTGTATCTTTGCGTAGTATGTGTGTGTGTGTGCGTGTGTGTGTGTGTGTGAGTTTGCGTGTGTGTGCGCGTCTATGTGCGTTTGTATATGTGGATGCGGCTGTGTGTGTGTGTGTGTGTGTGTGTGCGTGCGTGCGCACGTGTACATAAGCGAAATGGGTTATCTTAGGCACCACCCCATACCCTCTCTAGTTATTGTAATACAATATGTACATGGTTAAATATCTGAGGGAACGATGGTGCGCTGACAAACAAAAAAATTCAAGAGCGACGCTTTGTTCTCCACTAACAGTCAAAGATTGTCTCAATTAAAATAATAATAAAACTAATAATAATAGCAATAGTATTGTTTTTAGAAAATAAAACAATATTAACAGCAGCAGGGACAATAATAATGATAATAATAAAGAGAATAATC